TGGTAATCAGGTAGGGACTAGGGATATTTGCCATCTTTACAACTGCACATCTTGCAGGTAGCTTCACTTATCCTGCTATTTTTCCATGATGTAGGGCCTAGCAGAGAATGGTAGAGCACCATGGGAAGGGGTATGTCCCTGCTGTTCCTTGAGGATTCTATCATGAGTATTTTGTAGTGATCAATTATTCTTAGATGTCTCTAGACCCTACAAAACTTCGGCATGCTGCCTAAAACTCTTTTCCGTGACTGTCACAGGTCAGACAGCGTTGTAGGAAAGAATGGGGCATGTTTCAAACACGTATGTCAGATGCTGAGAAGGCATATTTCAGAGCAATGGGGATATCTCCTCCGAATTCAACAGTTAGATAAGTGGTTTATTTTGTCACACAATAAATTGGACAGTGTGATGTGATGTATGTAGATAGATAGATGCATCTGTTGATAATTTTTTTAACGTTAGAATTTATGGCTATTGCTAGCACAACTGTAGTTGTAGTTTATCCAGGCCTTAAGGAATGTTCTTTGGACTTGACCTTCAATGATTTATTGGCCCCGAATATTTAGTTTCCCAAGTTTTGTATATGCTAAGGAGGACAGACCACTGTGATTGTGAAGTTTTGAGGAGCAACTACTTAAACACACTTTTGTAACTCCTTTTAAGGAAAGATATTTCAGATTGGGACTTTACGCAACATTACTTGATCACACATATCGGTTGCAGACTAGGAATCATCTTGTGAGTTCCTTTTGTACCATTAAAGGAACATGTTTAATCCCTAGAAAAGATTCTGAAATCGAAACACGCACGCAGCCAAGACCACAAGGATCTGTTAGCTTTGCATTTATTTATTTGTTTCTTTTGCAAATCTATCTTTGTCTCCATATTATCAAGGCACTGATTGTGGCTTTAGTCAAAAGTAGGTATAGGGAGTTGAAGGGTCATCCCTAAGTTGGTGCTGATACCTTTCCAGCTGAGCAAGTTGAGACTTCAAAGTCTCTCTTTTTTTCAGGAACAGTGGTAGACTTGAGATCATGAAAAGAACAAAGACATGACCTGTTCTTATTATCTTTGTCCTTCTCCTTAACTTAACTAGTCTCTCCATTTCACATTGACAATTCTACTGCCACTTCTTTTTACTGGTTCTTTACAGCTTGAGATTGAACAAACATGATTGTGCTTAACTTGGTCCACCGAGCAGTTCCATGAGTAACAAAAGCTATGCGATGTGAGTAAAAGAGAAAGCAGATGTATCTGCCTACCTACCGCCACATGTTAAAAGAGCTTCATCAATTTTCTAAAGGTTGTAGGTCCTATCCAAGTGATGTAACATAGGAAGACTTTAGCTGTGTCACAATCTGGTTGTTTGATGCCATGACTTGCCTGACACTGATCTATCCAGTTAATCTATTCTAGACTATCTTGTTCCTGCTTTGTGCTTATTCAAACAGGCTAATCTCCTCAGAAAGAACACTCAGCATGAAACACTACAGTGTAGATGTTACAGAACTTTGAGTTAATACTTTTGAGGAAATTTTTGAAAACTGTAGGGGAATTGTGGGAGACATTGTAGCCCTTGTGATATTTCGGATGAGCTTATATTTATTTATCCATGATTTTTTTTTTCCAACTTTTTCGATGTGTCGGTCGATCATTATTCTAAAAGCTCAAGTCATTATTAGATCAGACATCATCCAGTCTTCTTCTTTCATGTTCTTAATAAACTAGCATTCTAAAACTCCCATGTTGTGCCCACTCTATGCTTTGTCTTACATTGATTTGGATCATTAGTAAAGATGCTAGGGATTGAAGTGAAGCTAAATAAGATTCTGCCATATATTTATGCTTCCAAGTCAGGGCAAAAACATGATGTATTCTGATGCAGTCATCGACTCTGTTCCTCATTTCTTGCATGCATGTGGTTACACAGACAGCCTCACTTGAGGAATTTGAGTGGAATAAGCTTCACATTCACAGACAGCAATCATTCTTATGGCACAACCTACATCTACTAAAACAGCAATTACCTCACACTCATTCAGGTTGCAATTACAACTCACATTCATATATATATATATATAAACAAAGAACCTCAAGAGTATCTAAAGAACAGGCAAAAAGGAAAGAATGAAGATAGCAATGACAGTCGCAGTACGCATGGATTGTGTCGGACCACTGAGCTTGATTCCCCAAAACAGCACTTCCCAAGTGATTCTTAGAAGGCTCCACGATCGCTCACGTTCCCGAGGAACGCACGGCATGGCTTCTCCGAGGAGCTGCTGCTGCTCGATGGAAGGGATCAGAAGAAGAAGAAGAAGACGCAAAAGCTGCTGCTGGAGGAGGAGACGCCATGAAACGAGCAGCTTCAGAAGGAAGAGAAGGGATGGCGAGAGCAGAAGTCGCACAACCTGTAGTGCCCTATTTATAGATGCAGCCAAAGGATGGTGGGAGGAAAAGACGTGCATGCTCTGCTTGCTATGTGACAGAATCTTTGTTCGTTTTTCTACGGTGAATTGGTCTTTTTATCTAATCGGGACTTTGGGAATTGAAATTAATCCTTCGGACTATTGGCATGCACATAGTGGGTTTAGATATTAAGGTGATATTATAATTCTCAATTTTTTGTTTCACAAGTAATAGATCTCAGATTTAAATACATGTTTGAATATCTCCCATGTTATTTAATGTAATAATTTTTTTTATTTTCTTTAAAAGATGGTTCGAGGAAGGAGATGATGCGGCCGGTGGGGCTTCGATGTTCCTTATATTTCTTTTTCTTTGTTGCGATAATTTTTTTGCGATGATTTGGAGATCCCCTAATGATAGTCGTTTTAATCGATTGGATATTCTAATTAGATGGGAGAAACCACAGTTGAGATGATAGAAGATTAATGATGACCTAACTTGAAACCAAGATTAGGAAGGTGGAAGCCAATTTGTTAGTCTATTTGATGGGTGGATGAAATGCTTTAAATGATGAATTATCAATAGATCAAGTCAACTTGGTCCACTTTCTAAAAATCATTATGTTTTGAGAATCATATCGCGAAGAAGATAGTTGATCGTATGTAAAACTAGTACGATCACTTTGATGCTCAAGAAAGTTTGAGATTGTTTACGAGAATCAAAATAAAGGTTCATATTCTGAATCATACTGTTATTGATAGATCGGAGAGGAATATTTCCATGATGATAATATTTGAAAGAATATTTTTTTTCCGACTCATGCTGATGTGATAAATATGACCGATTGGACTTTGTATGCTGATGTGATAGGAGTAATATTTGCATCCGTTTAACAAAGTAATATATTTTTCTCTTTTCCGAAAAATATATTGGGGATGAAGTGAGAGGATCGAAGTGAGATCCGATCTCCAAAGGAAGGAGAAGGGTAAGGGATCTCAGAAAATGATATGGCACCCCACAGAGGTGTTCATGTCATCTTCCTTTTTTGACTTCGCTCACTTCCTTCTCGCTCACTCCATCTCTTGTTGTTCGAACATGATTGGCAACACCTCCATGTTGATAAGTTTGGCATCCACAGGGAGAACAAAGCTTGAGATCCAAGCCATGTAGTTGTGTCGCGTGATGTTTAAGCTAGATTTAGTTAGAGCCGACATGTGTTAGATAATGTGATCATATGTAATTAGATATAATATATTATAAATTTGATTAAATTTTGATGATGATTTTTAATTAATAAATTTTTTTAATTATGGTAAGATTTCTTAGGAAATAATCTCGATGGGAGAGACTCTCATAATTATTTATCATAGAGTCTCTGTTGTCGTTTATAAATAGATAATATCTCCTAGGAACTTAGTGTTAATACGTAATATTATTGAGAAATTAGAAATATTATCTCATCTTCCCTCAATAGAAATTATAGATTTTCTTTTATCTTTCCTTATCCCTAACTCATCGCTCATAACGATCTTACGAGGATAGAAAGAAAAATATAATTCTCCTTGTAAATCGACATCATTGTGACTTTCGGATCTAACAATAATGCCCCGTAGATCGGATAAAGATTTTCTAGATTACATTGAAAGGTACATATCGTAAATCTGATATATTATTAATATATTATTAATTTATTAATATTAAAATGTTTCGTGTAATAGTAATATATTATAATTTTTACGTATTTCCGGATGAACTACACCAAAAAAGATAGTCTAATGTACATAATACCATATGTATGTATATGTGTTAGATAATATGGTCCTATGTAATTAAGTAAATATATTATAAATCTGATTAAATTCTGATGATAGTTATTAGTCAAAAAAAATTAATTATGATAAAATTTCTTAAGAGATGATATTAATAAAAGATCCTCTCGTAATTTCATGATCTCCTAAAGACTCGATGTGAATACATGATATTATTAAAAAATTAAAAATCTTAAAAATCTTCTCTCATCTCCCATTGTCTTCTAATTCATCGCTCATTATTGAGAAATTAAAAATCTTCTCTCATCTCTCATTGTCTTCTAATTCATCGCTTATAACGATCTTAGAAGATAAAAATAGAGGAGAAGACAAATTTAGTTCTCTCGACAAATTTTCTGAATGAC